GCTTGTTGAATTTTCCAGAAAACATGTTGTTAATTGCTATATTGAAGTTGTTAATAGCATAATAAATGTTTTTAACTGTTATATCGAAGTTGTAAAAATTTCCAAAAAAATTGTTTCCGGTCATCGGAGCTTGTTGAATTTCCCAAAAAACTTGTTGTTAATTACTATACTGAAGTTATTAATAGCATTACAAAAATTGTTAACCGTTATATTGAAGTTGTAAAAATTTTCAAAAAAAATTTTCTGACCGACAGAGCTCCGGTGACCAATTGTCGGCCAGTAGGAGCTGTGATACTTTAAAAACAATATTTAAAAGGAAGGGCAATTTAGTCTTTTCATTTGATATAATAATGCCAATTTGATCTCTTGAGACCAAAATGGCATTTTGCAAATTGGACGGACATTCTGGTCATTCTGAAATTCAGTTAGCATTTTTCTGTCTTTTTCCCTTTACTTTTCCCCCCCCCAAAAAAATGGAATTGGATTCTCTCTACTACCCTTTCCTTCCTCTTCCTCTCCACCACCCCCCTTTTCTCTTCACAACCATTGGATCAAAACTCCAATGGTCCAGATTTAATATTTTATAACATTTTATAAAAATAAATATTATAATAAAAAATAGATAAATAAATTTAAACTGTTAAAATCTAATCTGAACAGTTCATAACTACAGACTGTTATTATAGAATAAATTTTTTTTAATTTTTTTTATTACAATTGTAAACTGTTCAGACCAGATTTTAATAGTTTAAATTTATTTATTTATTTTTTTAATAACATTATTTTTATAAGATGTTAAATCTGGACCATTAAAATTTTGATCCAATGGTTGTGAAGAGAAAAAAAAGATAGTGGAGGGGAAGAGGATGGGAAGGCAGCGGAGAGAATCAAAGTCCTAAAAAAACTTTCTCTCCGCACTCATTCAATGCCTCTCATTCAGTAAATCAAGGCTATGAAAGCGAGATTGGAATTAGAACCGCATACTTGGTGTGTTTGGTAGCTAAGAATTCGATTCCTCGCGGAATCCACTTCCATCCGCATATATCGATGGAATTGGGTTTCACGCTCCTACCCATGGAACTAGTCCTGTTCCATTGCAACTCAAATATATGGATCATTTTGCCCTTTTTAACAGACGCAGTAATGGTAGTGAGCAAGGATGATAGAGGATGGCATGAGGACGATAGCAAAGGCAGCAATAGACAGCGCGTTGCTCTTTGATCTAATTTTCTGTGATGGCAACAAGGTCGTCTCCTTTTTCGATTTGCATTTGATTTCCGAACGTCAACATTTTCTTCTCTCTTTTCAATGTGTTTTTCTTCCAAGGGCAAAGTGAATGGCGGATGGCAGACACCATATTCTCCCTCTTCGATCTATGAGCTTTTCATTATCTTCTCCTTTTCCCTCTTCGATCTTCGATTTCTTCTACCTGTGTCCCCTCCATTTCTGCTACCTGTGTTTATGATGGGTGACTCTGTATCTTGATATTTCATTTGTTGATGTTATTCTATGGTGGCCGTCAATAGTTTCTATGGAGGGTGATGGGGTGGTTGGGGGCTGTTTTGGATAGAGACCAGGGTTATTTTGGAAATGGCATATTGTAATTTCATATTTAAAATTAACATAGCAATTAAAAATTATACTACCGGTCTTTTAAGACTTTGTTTGATTTTTATTTTAGTCCTAAATATAAGATCCCAATTCACTGTCTTTTATATTTATATATTTTTTTCCTAAGATAATCCTTCTAACAATGGTAGTTCTAGCTAATACTTTTGATTAGTAAGAATATTTTAGGAAAGATAATACTCCTCCGGTCCTTAATATAGGACTCAATTCTTGGGTTGGTTTTGGTCCTAAATATAAGACTCATTTTTTATATTTATCAATTTTCTCTAAATTACTCCTATAGATACTCCTTCAATCATAATCAAATAGAATTGTGAATACCCGCCCAGGAGTGTCTTTTGTTCTTTCAAATGCTTTTTGGATGAAATTCTGGAAAATTCAAACCCTGCCCAGAATCCTTCATTTTATTTGGAGGTGTTGTTCTAAAGTAGTACCGACAAGGGAGAGATTATTCTACCGTCACTGTTCTGTCAACCCCCTTTGTCCTATTTGCTTTGAAGAACCTGAAAGCTTGGAACATCTTCTATTCTTTTGCTCTTGGGTTAGATGCATCTGGTTTGGCTGTCAATTATCCCTCCTCATTGACAAAGCCAAGATCTTATCTTTTGAATCTTGGTTTTTTGATGTCATTTGTAATCATACGGACCTGCATGACAGTGATGTGTCTTTGTTGGTTTGGCTGATCTGGTATATTTGGAAGGAGAGGAATGATGTTGTCTTTAATTCTAAAGTCCCTGACCCTTTTAATGTTCTTTCTAAAGCTCGGTCAGGAGTTAATGAATATTGGACTAATTGGGCAGATAATCCACCACCTGAAGACAATCTTGCCACCACCTGAGCTGAAGGATGGTCGGCTCCCCCATCTGGTTGGATTAAGCTCAATTGTGATGGCTCGTTTCTGGCTGCTGATAGCTCCGTCGCAATTGGCATTATATGCCGAGATAGCTCTGGTTCTTTCTTATGGGGCTATGGTGAAAATGTGAACACTGAATCAGCCTTCCTCTCTGAATTACTAGCTGTTAGAAAATCGATCTTATTATGTGCGGATCTTGACCTTGAAGCAATCATAATCGAGACTGATAATGCTGATCTTCACGCTTGTTTAACAGCAAAAACGTCCTCCAGGTGTGAATGGTCTGGTTGGCACTTGCTTAAGGAAACTCTAGATTTGGCTGCATCACGTCCTAGGCTCTCTTTCTCTTTCTCTCGTAGAGAAGGGAATTGTGCTGCTGATTCCCTAGCAGTCTCTGTTCGTCAGAAGGTGTGCCCGTTTGGGTGGGTGTTCACACCACCACTTTCTTTGGCTTCGGCTCTTTCCCGTGATGCTGCAAGATCTAGGTGCTTTTTCGATTTGTTTGATGGTGCTGACCAAGACCGTGAAGGAGTTGGCTGATTTTTGTTCTGTCCTTTCTTTCTTTTTTTTGTTTCTTGTCTTCGTTTTGCTATTGCTTTTCCTGCCTTTGTACTGGTTCTTGACTTTCCGCTTTTAATGAATCTCTTCTTCGGTCAAAAAAAAATCATAATCAAATAGAAGAGGGAGATGGGGTATTAAAAAAGATGATTATGGTGTTTTAGGAAAAATGTGTTACCTTTCTTATAATTAACTAACTTACCTAACTTCCTTAATCTAATCAAATTAGTTAAATGGGTCTTATATTAAGGACAGGAGGAGTACCTATTTATTATAAATAATTAATTTAACTTCTTTTCTTAATCTCTTTGAAATAGTCAATTAGTTTTTATAATTAGGACAGGAGGAAGTATCATACTTCTATGACCATCCCAAACGCTTTTATTTCCACTTCCTCTTGTCGCAAAAACACTTGCTCATGTCAAATGGAGCAAGTGATCCCATAGTCTAAAACTTCTAAAACTTTTAGTCGTCGATACTATGGCCCCTGTTTGGATCTTTGTTTGGAAGAAGTAACGTGTCTAGAAAACTGTACAATGGGAATTGGTGGGTCATTTGAAGATAAATGCTTGTTTGGGTGGGTTTTTTTTCTCAAATTAGCTTCTAGAGAAAAAGCCCACTACGTTGTAACGCTGGGATTTGCTGCATTCAGCGGTGAGAAAAGCCCATTTGAGCATTTAATGGGGCATCATCCCCATCAGAATTTTGAAACACCACATTTGCCGTTCTCTCTCTTCTCCCTTACGTCAATTGTCCCTCTTTTTACAAGGCCAATGAACCCGACGTGGTTTTACTACATTTCCCCCTTTTTCTCCTCACTTTATTATACTTTCAAAATTACCACTTTAGCTCTAAATGTAAGGTACTTGTGGAGAGAAATTTGGACTTGAAATGTAAGTCATCTATAATATATTTAATACTTACTTTTTAATTTTATTTTTATTTAATTGTCATTATTTTTTTTACCAGCATTTAATTGTCATTAAAAATAAAGAAAAAAAAGGAAGAGATATGATAATGATTTATAAATATAGAAGAATATAGCTTTAGTTTTAAATTGAATGATTTTTAATTTATATTCATGTTACTCCATTAAATATTTAATTAAATAAAATATATTTTTAAAATTTTCTCAATAATAAATGTTTTTATTTTTATACTTTTTTTTTAATTATTTTTTAATAATTGTCACATTATAAACATATAAAATTTTGTGATTTAATAAATTTTATGTCCTTTTCAATAAGGACTTTTTAATATAAGCAATAAATAGGAATTAGGGATACTCTGAAAAAATTATTAATTTTGAGAGATTAAATGAATTGAACTATTTTTAAGACAAAAATAAAATTCTTATCTAACTCCTATATTAAGAATGGAAATAATATACACTTATTATTATTAATAAAATTTCGTTTCATGGAAAATATTCAATATAATTATTTAACAATATATATCTTTTATTCTATTTTTGGCCCAAACTAATTTTTATTTTATTTAGAGTTAATATAAATTTTGATTTTGATCCCTCAAATTTCAAACTATAAGTTTTGGTTCCTTAAAGGACAAAATGATTTACGTTTTTATTAGATTATAAGGCCAACGTTTTATATAAAAAAGAAATTTGAAGGGTCAAAGTTTATGTTTTAAAATTTGAGAAATCAAAACTAAAGGGGTGTTTGGATAGAAACCAAACCATGATTTCAGAAGTGCTTTTACGGATTACGAAATAAATATGTGAAGGAAATTATCTCGTTTTGCAGAAAAATGCTTCTGAAACTATGGTTTTGGGTTTCCCAAACACCCCTTAAAATAAAAACAAAACCAAAGTTTATATTATCTTTTGTATTTAAGCACTAATTTTTCCTGCTAATTTTCGCCCCTCCTACCTTGATAGAATAAGCTTCACGAAAGAGAGAGAGAGAGGCGATCCAACCCGAAATTATCAACTGCAAAATGTGATAAGAGCTGGAAGTATCAGCCATAGTCCCATCTTCGTCTTCGGTTCTGCGCGCGAAACAGGCAAAGAACGCTCACGTCTTATTCATGCCTGCCATGATCTTCCTTTCTCTTCTTCCTCAGCTATCTGGTAATCCTAACATCACATTTTACTCCCTCTCATTCCCATATTCTTCCACCACTACATCCTTTTCTCCCCAGCCTCCTCCCAAAAACACCGTCAAAAATCACCCTTTCAGCCTTTTCCCAATTGCCTCGGCAGAGAACCCGAATTCCCCTGTCTCGCCTGAGTCTAAGTCCCATCCTGGTGCTCCCATCAAAGCCCCCACGCCTCCGTGGATGAAGGGTCCTCTGCTTGTTGAGCCTCATGAAGTTCTTGACCTTTCTAAGCCCAATGCCAAGAAGAGATTCAATAAGAGCGAGGTGGAACAATCTGACAAGGCTTTGACTGCGAAGGAAAGTGGCGTCAGAGGGAAGAAGGCTATGAAGAAAATTGTCCAAGGCATTGAAAAACTTCAGAAGGGTCAGAATTACTCAACTGATACGCAGATGGGTCCTGCGCAAGCTGAAATTGAGGATACTTTAGAACAATTCGAAAAAGACGGCGATTTCGGAACTCGGGGTAGGATGCCATGGGAGAAAGATGAGAGGATTCAGTTTCGGAGGACGAAAAAGGAGAAGGCCGTGACTACTGCGGATTTGACTCTTGATAAGGCATTGCTAAGGAGATTAAGAACTGATGCTGCTAGAGTGAGAACTTGGGTGAAGGTTAAGAAAGCTGGTGTTACTCAAGCTGTTGTTGATGAAATTAAACGCATTTGGACTAGAAGTGAGCTTGCCATGGTTAAATTTGATATCCCATTGTGCCGGAATATGGATAGAGCTCGAGAAATTGTCGAGGTTAGGCTTGTGAATAATGTTCTCTATTTGCATTTTCGAAGCGATACGTTTCAAAAGTTGGTTTTTAAAATATGTTTTAGTTCTATGTGAACATGCGGCCATATTGAACTGAATTTAAGGATCAATATGTGCTGCGTACCTTGAATGAACTGCGGAGATGGGAATCGTCAGGGTAATTCCTCGTCTTTAAAATCTTACAATAGTAACCTGATTTATTTAACTGAGTTTTAGAGGTGAAAGACAAAATTGAACTAATCCGAGATGTCTAATGGCGAGAAACGATATCATGTCATATATTCCTTTGACTTGTAGATCATACATCTGTTTCTAGTTTACTTATCCGATGTGTTTGTCCTTATTTCCTATGTGAATAGTTTAAGACTGGAGGCTTGGTTGTCGGGAGTAAGAAAGATACGCTTGTCATTTACCGAGGCCAAAATCATCAGATCACTCCTAAAGTTTCAGGAAAGATTTATACAAGATACTATCACATTCAAAACGCAAACCATCACGGAATCAATTTGTTGCAGTCAGAAACCAAGGACAATCTTTACGAGTTTGACTTCCATCAAAGTGGTGCTCATGACATGTTGAGGTGGAAAGCTGGTAGTGGAGACTTTGCAGTAACTGATATCCATAACGAAGAAGATGTGAATTGCCAAACTGTGACTGGATCCTTGTATGAGAGGGAAACTGATAGGTTACTGGATGGCTTAGGACCCCGCTTCATTGATTGGTGGATGCACAAGCCACTTCCAGTAGATGGTGACTTACTTCCAGAAGTGGTTCCTGGATTTGAGCCTCCATTTAGGCTTTCTCCACCTTATGCTAATTCAAAACTGACGGATAATGAACTTACGTACTTTAGGAGGCTTGCTCACCCTTTGCCGGTCCATTTTGTTCTTGGTACTCTCCCGCTTGATGTAATCTATCCGCTTACTTTTATTATTTCTTTATTTGTTTGCATTCTAGGCTCTTTTTTTCCCCCCTATTTTTTTAACCTGAGAAATGATAATATGTAACATTTTCTCTTTCTTTCTGGATTTGACGATTTTATGCAATCTATGCGGGACATTTACTAGTATGACCTAGCTTAAAGAAGAAATGTCTTATCTTTTTATTCTGGGGTAGTTTTATTTTTGTGCATTACTTATTGTCTGCCCATATCTCTTATGGAATTCTGTTTCAAGCCTATGATAGTTAATAATAGTAATGCCTCATAGTATACTAACATACCCTAGTTTGAAATTTGAATGTAATTCTCTCAGCTATTGTTGTTTTTTTCCCCCCCAGCAGAAACCTTGCGGAAAATGCCACGGGTTTTGTTTGATGTTATAAATTAGAAATTCATGAGTTAGCTACCTCTTTCTTGTTCAGACTTCAGGCCAGAATATGTTATTCTCTAGAGAAGTATTGCGTTACAGGCCACAGGCTATAGAGTCACTTTGTATTAGCACAGGCACGGCCACCTACACATATTCATATTTTTGGTGTTTGCATCGGTTTGTTTTATATGTGGATATCTGTTGTATAAGCTAGTAATTTGTTAATATCATGTGTATATACATTCTGAAAAGCTTAAAAGTAAATTTAAGTAGATCAATTCTTTAGTAACCTAATTTTTTCCAAGTTAGTAAATTTATTTTTTAGTGCATAGGACATCATAATGTATTGTGTTTAGAAGCATCAGATTCAGGAGCCATCCAGCCAGATTAATTTTTGAGTTTGTTGCTATATGGAGATCAAATACAAAGATATATTCATGCGTTTTTTTTTTTTTGGCCTGAGATATATTCATTTCACTTCACTGCATAAGAATTAGTTACTTAAGTTTGTTTCTAGTTCTAAATCTATGACTTTTCGTGTCATTTCAAATTCACACCTGAATAAACTCAGTTACAAATTGAAAACCTTAGTTAAAAACTTAATTAAATGGAAATTAGATACTGTTACAAATTGAAAACCTTAATGGAAATTAAGTTACTTATACCATGGCAAGGTGAAGGAGTCCATGTAACAGTATCTAACTGCTTCTGCTGGGGAAAGAACAGTGAATCTAATCAATATTTTTATTGATAGAAAATTTTGATTGGTTGGTTATAAATTGTTCTTTTAATTGGTTGGTTATTAATTGATCCGAAGCCTAGCCAGAAGTGTATGTGGGGTACCTCCTTTCTTGCTTATCATTGCATAAATAAGGTTAATGAATAATGCTTCTCTATTTTATGAAGGTAGGAACAGAAGACTACAGGGCTTGGCTTCTGCAATTTTGAAGTTGTGGGAAAAGAGCCTTATAGCAAAAATTGCTGTGAAGTATGGAGTTCTTAATACTGACAATGAAAAAATGGCCAGTGAGCTGAAGGTAAGTTGCATAGAAGTTTTTTTGTGATCTGCATCTGTGACCAAGACATTCCAAGTTTTAGTCGTTCTGTCCTTCTGTATATTAAAGCTTGACTCTTTGGATTGAATTAAATGAATTATTCTCACCAACCTTCAAGGTAGAGCTTGACACTTTCGCTGTCCTCACTTGCAAATTAGCCTTCTCACGTGCTGTTGGGCAATTTATGAGACTGGAATGTGAATATCAAAGCCAATCATGGTTGGGCGTATAATGGTTTCACTTTGAATCTTGTAACTGAAAACCAAGCTAAACTTTCTTGTTGTCGAACTGTAAAATGCTCCTCCATAGCTCGTATGCATGTTCAATGTGTTGGTTCTGGTTCATGTATGTTGGAATAAGTTTTCTTAACATTGTTATCTGCAATGCAGCGTCTTACAGGAGGAACCCTGTTGCTGCGTAATAAGTTTTATATAATACTTTATAGGGGCAAGGACTTCCTTCCTAGAAGAGTTACAGCTTTGGTGGAAAAGAGAGAAGAAGAGCTTAACGGCTGTCAACTTCACGAAGAAGTTTCACGGCTGAAAGCAGTTGAGGCTTTTTCACCAATTGATGAACCACAGCAGAACACTAGTACAAGTGGTACCTTATCAGAGTTCAAGAAAATCCAAAGAACGATTTGGTATGCCAAAAACGTCCATGAAGATGTAAATGTTCAACTGGAAGCTGAAATAGTCAGATTGGAGAGGGAATTGAAAAGGGGAGAGCGCCAACTATTCATAGTATGACACGACCTATCGTCTTTTTCATTTTAAGTTGGAATTATACAAATATTTTGTGAACTATCTTTGTCGACTCTGCAGCTTAATAAGAAAATAGAGAACTCAACAAAGGAATTATCAAAGTTAAATGCTGCTTTTACACCTTCTGAGAAGGACTCAGACCTGGAAATAATGACAGAGGAAGAGAGACAATGTTTCCAGAAGATAGGACTGAAGATGCGCAGTTGCTTAGTGCTTGGTAAATAAATTGTACTTCTCACATTTTGTTTCCTTTATAGGCTGCTCTTCCCCTCTCTGTGCTGTTTTCGCCCCCCCCCCCCCCCAATCTAATCCAGAGTAGCGATTATATATATCAAAGTCTGCTTTTTGTCAAATGGGTTATAGAAGACAAATAAAGACAAATATATATTATTTCACTTGCTTGTGAGCCAGCAGCCCTCATTGAAACATCCAAACGGGCATATCCTGATGTGGCTACAATTGCAAAGTACAGTTACTGATGCAGTTTTTTGTTACAGCTTCTCCATGAAGTCTTTTATTGTTGGAAATATCTTTGTTTTTATTTTTTCTGGCCCTTAGAAATTCTATTAAACGGTGACTGCAGGCAGGCGTGGGATCTTTGATGGTGTATTGGAGGGCATACATCAGCACTGGAAGCACAGAGAAGTAGTAAAGATCATTACAATGCAGAGAGTGTTTGGGCAGGTCATCAACACAGCAATATCTCTCGAGGCAGAAAGTGGTGGGGTTCTAGTTTCTGTTGATAAATTAAAAGAAGGCCATGCAATAATTATTTACCGTGGAAAAAACTATAGACGGCCTTCAGAAAGGGGGACAAAAAATCTTCTAACGAAAAGAGAAGCATTGCGTAGATCTATTGAAATGCAGAGAATTGGAGTAAGTGATTTTTTCCCTTGTGCTTCTAGCATTCTCCTAGTTTCTAGAGACAACTGTAAACATTTCTTTCTATGTATTTGCTTCTGCTTGTATTCACTTCTCCCAGTGGGTCTGATTTACTTATTATTCTCAGTCATTGAAGTTTTTTGCACATCAAAGACAGCAGAGAATCGCAGATTTGAAGCTCAAACTGGTAAATACAAGGTTTTCTGTTTTTGCTTGAAATTAGATCATGTTAACAAAATTAATAAATCTTAAATATGTGTAGTTGTTCTTTCTGTTTGACAAGAAAACTTGACTTCAACTTGAATTTTGCAGGCAGATCTCCAGCAGAGAAAGGAAGTTGAGCAGAGGCATAAAGAAAATTAATATACAAATTTACACATCCCACTGGTTTGCTCTTAATTTGTCTGCAAATTCTGGGGGACAAGAAATAGGAAAATTTCTCCAAGCATCAGTGTATAGCATATTTTTGCGAGTGAGTATCTTGAATTAATCACTGTTTGAGTCCTACAAAGAGGAAAAATTCAATATCTGGAATCAACTGTGATAGAATCCACTGCTCAAATATACTATTAAGAGATGAAAAATCTAGCCAGAGTGTAAGTCTAAGCAACAGAATTTTTTGAGGAAAAAATTAATAATCGAAATATCTAACCGCATCTATTGTTAATCACTAAATAAATTTTTTTTAAAAAATTTAGTCTGCATGTTACATCATAAAGACTTGGAATTCTGATTTAAAATATTTTATTTATTACACAGAAAATATTATTATTAAATATTGTAGGTGACTGATCCAAGAGTTAGGGGTCAACATTTACACGAGGATCAATAGCCCTCATATTTGTACGACAATTCTCAGCATCCATGCTAAGCCTGAATGTCATGATTGTATTTAAAGCGTCTAGATTTGATATAAAGTATCTAAATTCAATAAATACTTGTACATGTACTTCTTTTATTACTCTAACTAGATACTCTAATATAACAAGGATGCAGTGTCTTTAGAAAAAGGGATTTATATTTGAAGGCATCCTGCATACGAAAGCAGATGTAGGACTAATGAGTGAAAGGACGGAACATAGAAAATGCAACTTAAATCATTAATTGACCAAGTATATATTAGCGAGTTAGCTGCAAAAGTTTTCAAGACGAAAAATAGAACAGTTGGAAATCATTTAGACAATGCTGCTTATATTTATGAACAAATAGAAAGGGAAGCAGTTGATGGAAATTATCTATGAATTCTACCAATACAATTCAAAGTTGAATTGTCCTCAGCAGTTCGTAGAGTATATGCGCTATCTGATTATTGAATTTGTTTGAATCATTTCTTCGGATGATCCATTTGACAATTGTATAACGGGTGATTTTGTAGGATATTCAAGGGATGGCTTTCGAGGAACTGTTAAGGATTGAAGGGGTCCTCCTAACATTTCTACCACTTTACTCATAGCTGGTCTATCTGATGGATTTGTTTGAACACACCATAGACTCACTAAAGTCATCTTCCTTACCACCTCATCATCTTCCTCTGTGATTACTAAAGAACTAGCCGGATGCTTTCCATGTTCAAGATCCTTATAAATCCAATCTGGAAAATACAGCTCATCGGTCTGTGATCCTCCACTGTCATAGTTCTTCCTTCCTCCAACCATTTCAAGGACCAAAATGCCATAGCTATAAATGTCTGCTTTGTGAGAAACACCACCAAATGCTCTACTGAATATTTCTGGTGCAATGAACCCTATTGTTCCTCTTGTGCCTAGTATTGATACAGTACTCTCTTTTGACATAATTTAGCCAATCCAAAATCAGATATTTTTGGGGAAAATTCTTCATCCAAGAGAATGTTTTGGGGTTTGATATCAAGGTGCAAAATTCTCGTGTTACAACCCCGATGCAAGTACTCAAGCCCACGAGCAATGCCAATAGCAACCTGGTACAATACCTTCCACTGCAAAGTACAGAAAGCATTTGGAGATCCCCTTTGATAGATGAAATTATCCAAGGAACCGTTTGACAGGTATTCATAGATTAACACTCTTGTTCCTTTCATAACAAAATCCCAGGAGAGTGACTATGTTGATATGGGAGGTTCTGCTGATACTTGCAACTTCATTTATAAGTTCTCCTCCACTTCCTTTAGATTCCCTTGTTACTTTAACTGCGACAGGACGACCATCAGGTAGGCTTGCTTTGTATACAACACCATACCCTCCTTCGCCCAATTTGTTTGAAAATGATTTTGTCATTCTTTTCACTTCTGAATAACTGTATTTCTTTGGTGCCAGAGAGCCCCAGTTTCTCATGAAGGATTGAAGATTGTGATCATGATTTGCTCTTCTCGCTTTGAATATATAAATCATCAAAATCGAGATTAGAGCAAGTCCACCTACACCTGCTGAAATGGCTGCATTTGTAGAACATAACTTCTTAAAATCTTTGAAATATTAATTGCGGAAGCTATTAAAATCGAAGTTGCTCTCTTTATTACCTATAGCAAGTCGCCAACCCAGCTTCTCAGTTCATCCTGCAATTAGAACTCTGTTTAGCCTTAAATTGACAGAGTGATTTTGGAATTTACAAGTGACGGACATAATCGTTTATATGTAGACCCATAGGGCTAAGGAGAGTCTATCATGATATCTTTCGAAATCAAGAAACTAATATCCTGCTTCTTAATATAAGATTTAGATAATTAATTTGTGAATATTAAGAAAATTAGTTAGGCTAGTTATTTATAATAAATGAGTGTTGTTTTTCATAAAATATCCTTATTAATCATGTGCATTATAAAATTACCATTTAATAAAAACCCTTTAACATGTACAATCATTATATTTAGGACCAAATTGAATTTACAACTAGCTCTTATATTAAGAATCAGAATCTGGAGGTAGTTATATAATAATTCCAAATAAAAAATGGAGTTATCAGGTTGTTTAGAATAAACCCAAAAAAAAAAAAAACAAAGAGAGAGGTTACAACTGAGCATAATTACAATATGATAACTCTTGAAACAAAAACATTAGGAAAAATCCCAACAAAATATCTTTGAATTTCAAAATTTTAACTTAATCTTGTTTATTTCATTTTAATAACAAATTACAACATTTAAAAAAATAAATGATAACACATTTTTGTAGTTATTTCTGATTTTGGATTTTGAAATTTTAAAGGTATTTTGCTGATATTGTTTCAAAAATTAATTAAAGGCGTATATGCCAAGTGCTAATACAATGAAAGTGAGTGAAATATCCTTCACACTAAATGATATTATATTTTATCACGATGTGCTTCGTAGATTGGTATGAATTATATCCATGGGATCGGAATTGGAAAGTTTTCAGATCCTAAGGAGTGAGAAGTGGAATTAGACGGATATGACTTGAGAATGAATATTCTCAAATGAAAAATGACAATTGTTTAATCATGAGGAAATAGGACCTAAATATAGTTATGTAAGTTGACTTGGGGTCAAAGAAGGTTGCCCATATTTTAAAACTAATGTGAACAACCAATGATAGCCTGGCACTTACCAAATAATGTCTATCTACCGCCAGCAAATACTCTAAACAGGACTTCTTATATTTTCTAAGATGAAGTTGGTGTGTATGAAAATTAAGTAAATTAAGCCAATCAAGGAGAAACATGTAGGTTGAGTTTCATTATAATTTGGCATAAACATGTCTCATTAGTGCCAGTGTCCACGTAAACCGAAGAGAAAAACCAAAGCGGTTTTTTCTAGCTTTTCCTAGAGATGAACCACAATCAGATGGTTGTTGCAGAAGTCAGGAATCGTTCTTGAGGAATATGAATCAACTATGTATGGAGTTATATATAAACTAAACTATGTTTTCCCTTTGGCATGGCTTCTTGGCTAAAGGCTATCAAGGTCCTATCTGCAGAAAAGAGCAGGGGACATGTGGGCAAAGTCTGTAACTATCTAAAAGCAATAACTGACGAGGATATGAATAAGCCAGTATTATCTGAAATAACCCATTGAAACTCAAGGCATGTTCATCAATCTATGTTCACAGAAGTCATTAACTGCTGAAACTTCAATCTATGAAGTAGCAGTACGTCAAAAACAGACTTGTGCGGAGACAACTCTTCAAATTACACAACATTACATGATTTGTCGTGTAGCAATTCTTTATTGTGTATCTGTGCACTTCATAGATTGGTATGAATTACTAGAACACTGGTACTTACTTGGTCTACATGCAGATGGAACAGGTCCGTGTTTGCAATAGCAAGTGAATTCACTTGAGCTTGTGTTATAACCGCATTGCCCACCAGAGTTTTGACAATCAGAGCACGGAGAATGATTTGCCTGCCATACCAATTTAAAGCCTTTATCAATAGCAGTCTTCATATTTTCCACACCTGAATCTTCCTCTAAAATTCTGGCTTGTGACTCCAAAATTGGAACAATGATGGTAGATCTGCAGGCCCATGTTTCTTCGATTTCAGAGTTCCCATCAATATCTCGGACCTCCAGAAGGAAATAGTCAACTATTTCGGTGCTATTTATACTGCAATTAAACTGAGTGGGGCGGATATACGGGAGAGAAAATGGAGGGGAAGGACAATCGTAGTACAGTGTCAGGTCATGAGAGTCCAAACTATAAAGAAATTGAGATCTATGGAATTGTTGCTCAAATAGGTTGGACAAGTATTATTCCAGAAGTCAGTTCTCACAATACTAAGACTATAATCAGAATAACTGACTTCAAGGACTCGATAGCTCTCGGACTTGATGGTGATTTCTCCATATTCACCATCGCAATCTAGTTCAAATTTTGGGTGGCCACAATAGTCTGGCCTTTCCCATCCCCAGAAAGGATAGTCAAGGTTCTTGAGATTTGCACAATCAAATGAAGAACTGCAGGATGCCTCATAATCAGCACAGAAGCAAATTGGAATTTGATACAGGGTAGTCGAAATGATAAAAAACAAAACGCAGAGGCTGAAATGAAGTTGCATCTTGAGAAAGAAACCCAGGATGGGAGGCAGAGGTGGGGCTTCAATTGCACAGTAGATCTAAACAGATAGTGAAGATGGAATTAATTCTCATGAGTTGGAAAATTGGAAGGATTCAGCTTGTGATTGGCTAATTTAAGTCACCTAGCAAGTAAGAATTTCCCCTTGCCAGCAACTACAGTAATCAGAGAGAGGAAATTCTGGACCTTATTATTAGAGGGAATGAGTACAACGTACGTGTTGCCAATAGGTTTTCTAATTTCAGCCCTTGCTTGCTCTCTCACTATCTCTGTATTATAATATTTTAAATATCATTTTGTCTTTTATGTGAAAAAAATTAGTCAATACGCATTATATGCACCAGTCAAAATATATAACATTTTCAATTTCAACTAGCTGAGCGGGTTTAACTTTTGCTTCATCATGGACAAGCAACAACACTGAAAAATTCCACCGGATCGTCCTTCAGGCGCCTGAGCTTGGATTAATTGCGCATACGTAAAATTTTGAAATATTTGTATCCATGTTTATTCAAGGGTCATTGACCCTCATATTTGTATGAACAAACAGAAAGGAAAGCAATAGTTGGCAATTATCCATGAATCTTCCGAGACAATTCGAAGTTAAATTGTCTTTGGCAGTAGGTAGAGTATACAAGTCAACTGCTTATTGAAACTGTATGAATCATGTCTTCGGAAGATGCATTTGACAATTGTATAACTGCTGATAATTTTGTAGGATATTCAAGGGATGGCTTTGGAGGAACCATTAAGGATTGAAGGGGTCCTTCTAACATTTCTACCACTTTACTCATAGCTGGTCTATCTGATGGATTTGTTTGAACACACCATAGACTCACTAAAGTCATCTTCCTTACCACTTCATCATCTTCCTCTGTGATTACTAAAGAACTAGCCGGATGCTTACCATGTTCAAGATCCTTATAAATCCAATCTGGAAAATACTGCTCATCAGTTTGTGATCCTCCACTGTCGTAGTTCTTCCTTCCTCCAACCATTTCAAGGACCAACATGCCATAGCTATAAACATGTGCTTTGTGGGAAACACCACCAAATGCTCTACTGAATATTTCTGGTGCAATGAACCCTATTGTTCCTCTTGTGCCTAGTATTGACACAATACTCTCCTTCTTTTGACATAATTTAGCCAATCCAAAATCAGATATTTTTGGAAAAAATTTTTTATCTAAGAGAATGTTTTGGGGTTTGATATCAAGATGCAAAATTCTCGTGTTACAACCCCTATGCAAGTACTCCAGTCCACGAGCAATGCCAATAGCAACTTGGTACAATACCTTCCACTCCAAAGTACAGAAAGCATTTGGAGATCCTCTTTGATAGATGAAATTATCCAAGGAACAGTTTGACAGGTATTCATAGATTAGTACTCTTTTGTTCCTTTCATAACAAAATCCCAGGAGAGTGACTATGTTGACGTGGGAGGTTCTGCTGATGCTTGCAACTTCATTTATAAATTCTTCTCCACTTCCTTTAGATTCCCTTATTACTTTAACTGCCGCTGGACGACCATCAGGTAGGCTGGCTTTGTATACAACACCATACCCTCCTTCGCCCAATTTGTCTGAAAATGATTTTGTCATTCTTTTCACTTCTGAGTAACTATATTGCCTTGGTGCCAAAGAGCCATAGTTTCTCATGAAGGATTTAAGATTGTGATCATGATATGCTCTTCTCTCTATGAATAATTTCCCATTTTCTATTCTGAAACGCTTCTTGCAAATATAAATAATCAAAATTGAGATTAGAGCAAGTCCACCAACTCCTGTTGAAATGCCTGCATTTGTAAAACATAATAACTTCAAATCTTTGAAATGTTAGTCGTGGGAGCAATCAAAACGAGAGCGTTACTATGTTTATTACCTGTAGAAACTCGCAAACCCAGCTTCTCAGTTGATCCTGCAAGTAGAACATTGATTTCGAACAAATAATTACTACTTGCTTGATCAGCAGAAAATCATTACAAATTTCACATTATATCACATTACATTTATTCTGCGGTAGCAGAGATGTTTCTTATCCTGTTAAACCATCGTAGCTACAATATTTACTCGTGGAATTATCTTATAAAGATGTGCACTTTTCAGAGACACACAAGAATGTGAAACAAATACATTTAAATGAAGAAAAAGAATGTTATTAGCAGGGAAAATGTGAAAACCTTAACGGGGCTTGATTCTGGCAAATTGCCGGGAAGCTGAAGTGTTCTATCTCTTTCTCACTCTCTCTCTACACACACACGCACACTCTAAAACATCATTAAAAGTTTAATTCTCTTGCAAAGCAATAGCAGACCCGTCGTATTTGGCTTGTATAGTGTTAAAAGGAAGAAGAATCAACAGGGTTGATACTTGATAACAGGGCATGTATACTAGAAAATGCAGATATAAATTATGTTCTGCATCAAACATTTATCACAGGGACATGTCCCATATCCATGGTTCTATACCTGACGTTTTACCAGGACATGAAGTCTTTTGGGGTCCATCTTTGCAAAAGCAGGAGAATTGTCCATCATAGCCGCACTGGCCACCAGATTGAGAGCATGTGTTGCAATCCTCGGTATTTACCATCCATTGCAACCCAAACTCATCTCGTAATACATCTTGTATAGCAGCTTGAACTCGACCAAAGTTCGCTTCATATATCGGCATAATAACACTTTCGCAATCACTGAAATACCATGGTCCGGGAAGGTAGTAGACTGTTATATTTGTATCATCGTCGGCTCCCTTGCAGTTTGTATCTTGACTATTTGACAGAAAGGGAGGAGAACTAGGACAATCGTAGACAAAGGTCACATTAGTAAGCCCATCATCTACATACTTGAACGGTGTTTGATCAAATGTGTTGTTTTTGTAATCAGTTTGACAGATATATAGTGTCAAAATAATCATCCCTAGCCACTACAAGAGTCTGCGTAGTCCATTCCAAATGAAGAATCTGGTATTTGAGGGACCGTATGGTAATTTTTGGGATATTGGCTTCGCAAGTGAGGTTGAAATCAGGAAGACCACAAGAATTTGCTCTTTCTCCTCCCCAAAATGGATAAGTGAGGTTTTGGACGCTTCCGCAGATAAAAGAGCTACTTGAACAGTTTGTATACTGATCATCATCCGCACCAAGAGATGTTGGAATATGGATAGAGATCAACAAAGGAACCAAAAGGAAGAACATAGAGGATGGATTGAGGGGTGGTTTCATGTTGGAAACAAACTATGAGATAATTGAGAAGAACAAGATGCAGCGTGAAAAGAATATGAGATGAGATTGATGAATCTGCGTTGTATAATGAATTAGAATTTCGTCATTTTCATCTAGCATGCAGATATGTATGGTTCTGAAAACGAAGAAAAAGTGCACATTATTTTGAAGTTTCCTCTGAATTTTAATCAAACTGCCAATTCGGATAGATAATGCAAGCCACACACTTTGCATCATGCACATAAACAAATTAAACTAGATTGACCTTTACTTTTATTAAACAAATAATTTGGACAGAGTCTTAACTGACTAATTAAATATACAAAAAGAAAAGGAAACTGTGGAATAGCATAGGGCCGGATTGAACATTCCCATATACTGCTATACAAAATTAGCATTTTGGAAAATTTTTATTGGCTTCTCCATTCTTTTGCACAAGGATTCTATGTTCCGAATATATGATTCATGCAACCAGATGGGGTTAACCCCCTCTGGTGACTTTGCCAGGAATTCCAGAAATGTTGAGAAAGTAAATTAAATGAAGCTTAAAGAAGGATGATTGTGATGAAAGAAACAAGCTTTGTTAGCAATATTCTATTGAAAGAGTAACGAGGACTAATTCGTTGATAGCATTGTAACAATATTTTAATCCGTATGCCTTATCTAGACAATAAGTCAGTAAAAAGGGGCAAAGTTGATAGATTGTATACAAAATGCATGTAATCCAATAAATTAAAAATTATGATGGAAACATGATAATGACAACAAACTAAAATAGTCAGAGACTCTGCTTGGGGATTGAACACAGCAAGAGTAGCAGAAAAATGACGTGGAAATTAAAATGGGGTTAAAGTGTTACTCAAGAGCATGGGTCACCCAAAAGCTTTTTTGGATACATTTTGTCTTGAAAATTTAAAATTATAGTAATATTGGCCCATACCATTCAAAAGTTAATGTTGACTATCAAAATAGTGATATTAACTATTAATATTTTTAATAATAAGGGATAACATTATTATGATTTTAAACTTCCCAAACAAATTTGTGTCCAAAAAAGCTTCTGGGCACCCAAAGTTCGTAAGTGAAAAGTTTTGGGAAATATTTACGCCTTAACTCATTAAAATATACCAAAACTGAGTCCACAATTCCTTTTTTTTTTTTTTTAACAGAAAACTAAGTCCACAATTCAAAAGAAAGCGAAGATAGAAAGACCTTGCAGCTAGTGAGTATCAGCCATGTGAGAAACAAAACTGAACTTTAAGCAATTCCCTCTTTTTTTGGCTTACTCATTGTCTTGTTTCTTTTTCTACTTTGTAGAGCTCTCATTTTACTTTCGTTATAACATTTTGCCTTGTTACAAAGAGGGGGAAAAAAAAGATACTACTATTTACAGATAATAACATATCAGAAATGAAAGATTTATTTGCAATTATTCATGGATTTAATAAAAACTCAAATATAGCAGATAGGAAAAGGGAAAGATTCATCAGTTACCAAAAAAAAAAAAAACGCGGTTGGCATCATGTTACGTACCTGAAGTTCCCTGAGGCTGAGGCGTTGAGTTGCCTCTTCTGTTATAGCAGGTAGTCTTATTGGAACCCCAATCATAGCCACAGACTCCCCCTCTTTTCTGACACTCATCACACTCTACAATTCCAGGTATCCATTTTATCTCAAATCCATCATTAAGCATCCTTTGCACTATGCTTAAAACCCGGAGATCAGCCAATGACGTAGGAGCTTTAACAGGAACAACCACGCTTGTAGAGCACAACACAGAAATTTCAGGAACGTTATCCGGCAGTACATAGCCATATGAATGATCAAACCAATCTTTGGGACAAATAAATCGTAGGGGGTTTACTAAAGGGATTGACGGCGGACAACCATAAAAAAGGGTGAGATTTTTTGTTTCAGGCACGTTTTCAAACAACTGAGGGTCAAGGCTTGTGTTGAGAAGCTGATTTGGGCATAAGTTTTGGCCGTAGTCGAATCTAGCGATTGTCATAATATGTTGGTCGGGATCGGCATTCAAAACCAGGTATGAGACACTTCGGATAGTTATGAAGGTCGAACCTGCGGAACAATGAAGATACAATTCAGGATAGCCACAACCTTCTGGACGGCCCTGTCCCCAGAAAGGAAACCCAACGTTTTTAATGTTCCCGCAATTGTATAGAGTACTGCAAGCTGTATAATTACCGTACGTGATCGAATACGAAGGACTCTGAAGGAATAATGAAAGGGTTATACATGAAAGAAGAAACCGGGAGGTGAAGAAGGAAGACATTGACGAAGAAATGAATTGCAGAGAGAGAGAGAAGAATTCCTGTTTGGGTGAAAGTGAGTGACATATTCAACCATAAGGAATGATTTATGATGGCAAGGGAGGGAATGGAAATTTGACCTGGTAAACTCTTAACGGTTTATCACTTGCTTTCAGGTCAATTTCCTAACCAACGAAAGTCAAACTCTCACTGCTGCATAAGATTCAAAGGTTTTACTTATTGCATACTTGGCCATGTCCAAAATTCTAAGGCCATTTATTTATTTATTTATCCACTTCATTAATCCAGGCTTTATAGAGTGTTTCTCTGGTAATTTATCCATATTTCTTTTCGTATTAGAAGCGATGGACTAGGTTTTGATTAAGACAGTTTAGCAGCTGCAGCTTGACCAAGGTTTGCTTCTTATATCAGCATAATAATAGCACTTCTGCAACAACATAAATACAACCCAGGCTGAGGCATTAAACGGCATTGGAAAGAGGCACAGCCTTAAGGCCGTTTGATTTGATCAAATATGTTGTTTTTGTAATCAGTTGTACAAATAGTGTCAAAATGATCATCCCTAGCCACTATAAGAGTCTGTGAAGTCCAGTCCAATTGAAGAAGCTGATATTTGAGGGACCGTATTGTAATATTGGGATATTGGCTTCGCAAGTGAGCCGGAAATCAGGAAGACCACAATGATTTGCTCTTTCTCCTCCCCAAAAGGAATAAGTGAGTTTTTGTATGCTTCCGCAGCTAAAAGAGCTACTTGGACACTCTGCATACCGATCATTATCCGGCAGATATCAACAAAGGAACCAAAAGAAAGAGCATGGAGAATGGATTAAGGAGTGGTTTCACGGTGGGATTAAACTATGAATCCTGGAAAGAATATACTAGTTCCGGTTTTTAATATAAAAGCTAAATTAAAAGTTGAATTTAATTCTAAATATAAGACTTTTATTGATGTTGTCTCTCAAACTTATAATTTTTCTCTAACATATCCCTATTTATTACAAAGAATTTCATCAAGAGATAGTTCTAATACGCATGATTAGAGAATGTGATTTAGAAAAGTCAGCATATATTTTGTTACAAATAACGTAATTTTAACTAATTTTTTTAATCTTATCAATTTAGTTATTTAATAGAGAATGTGATTTAGAAAAGTCAGCATATATTTTGTTACAAATAACGTAATTTTAACTAATTTTTTTAATCTTATCAATTTAGTTATTTAATTTTTATATTAAGGACAAGATGATGAAGCTGCGTTTTATAAGCTAATGAATTAGAATTTTGTCTTTTTGATTTGTAGCTTGAAGCCATGGATAGTTTCTCGTAATTCGTACCCAGTAGCCAATTTGGATGGAACAAAGAAGCATGTTTTAGCATATATATTGCGTCATGCACACGATGATCTTGGATTTTCGAATTCAAAAGAAATAAAAATATACGGTTGAATAGAAGTTTCCTAGGTGACTTTCAAGGACCTGCTCAAAGACAGGGCAAATAGAACACGCAAACTAGGTGAAAAATCTGTTAGAGGATTTCATTCTGAAATCTTGTATGGTCATCAATTTTTTTTTTTAAAAAAGTCCATCCATGAACCTTAATTGCGGTGGCTTCAGAGTTGCTAATTGTCCGCACAAATTTCTTAAGATGTTTAATGAATTCTGGGTGAAGCTCTAGATTACATCATATTGTCCCACCACCACTCTCACAAGGGTACAAGGGTTGCACCACCACTCTAGATGTTTAATTTGTCTGCAAATTTTGGGGGACAAGAAATAGGAAAACTTCTACAAGCATCAATGTATAGCACATTTTTGCGAGTAAGTATCTCGAATTAATTACTGTTTGAGTCCTACAAAGAGGAAAATTTTCAATATCTGGAATCAACTGTGATAGAACCCATTGCTCAAATATACTATTAAAGTCTAAGCAGCAGAATTTTTTGAGGAAAAATTTAATAATCGAACTATCTAACTGCATCTATTGTTGAATCACTAAATAAATTTTTTTAAAAAATTTGGTCTGCATATTACATCATAAAGGCTAGGAATTCTGATTTAGAATATTTTATTTATTACACAGAAAATGTTATTATTAAATATTGTAGGTGACTGATCCAAGAGTTTGGGGTCAACATTTACACGAGGATCAATAGCCCTCAGATTTGTACGACAATTCTCAGCATCCGTACTAAGCCTGAAGGTCATGATTGTATTTAAAGCGTCTAGATTTTGGTATAAAGTACTCTTCTTGTCCTTAATATAAGACCCATTTAACTAATTTGATTAAATTAAGGAAGTTAGGTAAGTTAGTTAATTATAAGAACAGTGACACATTTTTCCTAAAACACCATAATCATTTTTCTTAATACCCTATCTCCTTCTTCTACTTGATTATGGTTGAGGGAGTATCTATAGGGGTAATTTAGAGAAAATTGATAAATATGATAAATGAGTTTTATATTTAGGACCAAAATCAATTCAAGAATTGAGTCCTATATTAAGGACCGGAGGAGTATCTAAATTCAATAAATACTTGTACATGTACTTCTTTTATTACTCTAACTAGATACTCTTAGGGAGTGTTTGGATGAAACCAAATTATGGTTTGGAGAATAGCTTTTGGAGAATAGATTCTGGAAAAAATAGATTTTGTGAAAAAGTGATTCTGAGCAGTGAGAGTGTTTGGATAGTTGTTGTCATAAATACTTTTTACATGTACAAATTATTAAAAAAATAAGTTAATATGATAATTATATAAAACATTGATTGTATGATATATTTAATTTGAAGGAATAAAATTATTAATAATATATTTTTTACCAACATATAAAATGATGTAATTAATAAATAATTAATATGTGTATATTTATTTATAAGATATAAGATTAAATATGTTTATAAAAAATTAATTAAGGGGTGTTAAAGTCATATTATTGTTGATATTTATTCTAATAGATACAATCATACTCTCCAATTTGAACCAGAAGCAGAATGGATTCACTTCTTCCAAAACCATAGTTTCAGATAATTTGTGCTTGTTTGGGTTGTTTTTTTTTCCAAACCATGGTTTGGGTCTCCAAACCATAGTTTGGCCTGCTATCGCCTTAATATAATAAGGAGGCAGTGTCTTTAGAAAAAGGGATTTAGTCACCAAAAAAAAGAAAAAGAAAAAGGGATTTATATTTGAAGGCATCCTACATACGAAAGCAGATGTAGGACTCATGAGTGAAAGGACGGAACATAGAAAATGCAACTTGAATCATTAATTGACCAAGTATATATTAGCGAGTTAGCTGCAAAAGTTTTCAAGACGAAAAATAGAACAGTTGGAAGTCATTTAGACAATGCTGCTTATATTTATGAACAAATAGAAAGGGAAGCAGTTGATGGAAATTATCTATGAATTCTACCAAGACAATTCAAAGTTGAATTGTCCTCAGCAGTTCGTAGAGTATATGCGCTACTGATTATTGAATTTGTTGGAATCATTTCTTCGGATGATCCATTTGACAATTGTATAACGGGTGATTTTGTAGGATATTCAAGGGATGGCTTTCGAGGAACTGTTAAGGATTGAAGGGGTCCTCCTAACATTTCTACCACTTTACTCATAGCTGGTCTATCTGATGGATTTGTTTGAACACACCATAGACTCACTAAAGTCATCTTCCTTACCACCTCATCATCTTCCTTTGTGATTACTAAAGAACTAGCCGGATGCTTTCCATGTTCAAGATCCTTATAAATCCAATCTGGAAAATACAGCTCATCGGTCTGTGATCCTCCACTGTCGTAGTTCTTCCTTCCTCCAACCATTTCAAGGGCCAACATGCCATAGCTATAAACGTCTGCTTTGTGAGAAATACCACCAAATGCTCTACTGAATATTTCTGGTGCAATGAACCCTATTGTTCCTCGTGTGCCTAGTATTGATACAGTACTCTCTTTCTTTTGACATAATTTAGCCAATCCAAAATCACATATTTTTGGGAAAAATTCATCATCCAAGAGAATGTTTTGGGGTTTGATATCAAGATGCAAAATTCTCGTGTTACAACCCTGATGCAAGTACTCAAGCCCACGAGCAATGCCAATAGCAACCTGGTACAATACCTTCCACTCCAAAGTACAGAAAGCATTTGGAGATCCTCTTTGATAGATGAAATTATCCAAGGAACCGTTTGACAGGTATTCATAGATTAACACTCTTTTGTTCCTTTCATAACAAAATCCCAGGAGAGTGACTATGTTGATATGGGAGGTTCTGCTGATACTTGCAACTTCATTTATAAATTCTCCTCCACTTCCCTTAGATTCCCTTGTTACTTTAACTGCGACAGGACGATCATCAGGTAGGCTTGCTTTGTATACAACACCATACCCTCCTTCGCCCAATTTGTCTGAAAATGATTTTTTCCATTCTTTTCACTTCTGAATAACTGTATTTCTTTGGTGCCAGAGAGCCCAAGTTTCTCATGAAGGATTGAAGATTGTGATCATGATTTGCTCTTCTCGCTTTGAATATATAAATCATCGAAATCGAGATTAGAGCAAGTCCACCTACACCTGCTGAAATGGCTGCATTTGTAGAACATAACTTCTTAAAATCTTTGAAATATTAATTGCGGAAGCTATTAAAATCAAAGTTGCTCTCTTTATTACCTATAGCAAGTCGCCAACCCAGGTTCTCAGCTGATCCTGCAATTAGAACTCTGTTCAGCCTTAAATTGACAGAGTGATTTTGGAATTTACAAGTGACGGACATAATCATTTACATGTAGATCCATAGGGCTAAGGAGAGTCTATCATGATATCTTTCGAAATCAAGAAACTAATATCCTGCTTCTTAATATAAGATTTAAATAATTAATTTGTGAATATTAAGAAAATTAGTTAGACTAGTTATTTGTAATAAATGAGTATTGTTTTTCATAAAATATCCTCATTAATCATGTGCATTATAAAATTACCATTTAATGAAAACCCTTTAACATGTACAATCATTATATTTAGGACCAAATTGAATTTACAACTAGTTCTTATATTAAGAATTAGAATCTGGAGGTAGTTATATAATAATTCCAAATAAAAAAAATGGAATTATCAGGTTGTTTAGAATAAACCCAAAAAAAAAAAATAGAGAGAGAGGTTACAACTAAGCATAATTACAATATGATAACTCTTGAAACAAAAAGGTTAGGAAAAATCCCAACAAAATATCTTTGAATTTCCAAATTTTAACTTAATCTTGTTTACTTCATTTTAATAACAAATGATAACATTTGAAAAATAAATGACAACACATTTTTATAGTTATTCCTGATTTTGGATTTTGAAATTTTAAACGTATTTTTCTGATATTTTTTCAAAAATTAATTAAAGACGTATATGCCAAGTGCCAACACAATGAAAGTGAGTGAAATATCCTTCACACTAAATGAGATTACATCTTATCATGATGTGCTTCGTAGATTGGTATGAATTATATGCACGGGATCGGAATTGGAATGTTTTCAGATCCTAAGGAGTGAGAAGTGGAATTAGACGGATATGACTTGAGAATGAATATTCTCAAATGAAAAATGACAATTGTTGAATCATGAGGAAATAGGACCTAAATGTAGTTATGTAAGTTTACTTGGGGTCAAAGAAGGTTGCCCATATTTTAAAACTGATGTGAACAACCCATGATAGCCTGGCACTTACCTAATAATGTCTATCTACCGCCAGCAAATACTCTAAACAGGACTTCTTATATTTTCTAAGATGAAGTTGGTGTGCATGAAAATTAAGTAGATTAAGCCCATCAAGGAGAAACATGTAGGTTGAGTTTCATCGTAATTTGGCTCAAACATGTCTCATTAGCGCCAGTGTCCACGTAAACCGAAGAGAAAAACCAAAGCGGTTTTTTCTAGCTTTTCCTGGAGATGAACCACAATCAGATGGTTGTTGCAGAAGTCAGGAATCGTTCCTGAGGAATATGAATCAACTATGTATGGAGTTATATATAAACTAAACTATGTTTTCCCTTTGGCATGGCTTCCTGGCTAAAGGCTATCAAGGTCCTATCTGCAGAAAAGAGCAGGGGACATGTGGGCAAAGTCTGTAACTATCTAAAAGCAGTAACTGACGAGGATACGAATAAGCCAGTATTATCTGAAATAATCCATTGAAACTCAGGGCATGTTCATCAATCTATGTTCACAGAAGTCATTAATTGCTGAAACTTCAATCTATGAAGTAGCAGTACGTCAAAAACAGACTTGTGCGGAGACAACTCTTCAAATTACACAACATTACATGTTTTGTCGTGTAGCAATTCTTTATTGTGTATCTGTGCACTTCATAGATTGGTATGAATTACTAGAACACTGGTACTTACTTGGTCTACATGCAGATGGAACAGGTCCGTGTTTGCAATAGCAAGTGAATTCACTTGAGCTTGTGTTATAACCGCATTGCCCACCAGAGTTTCGACAATCAGAGCACGGAGAATGATTTGCCTGCCATACCAATTTAAAGCCTTTATCAATAGCAGTCTTCATATTTTCCACACTTGAATCTTCCTCTAAAATTCTGGCTTGTGACTCCAAAATTGGAACAATGATGGTAGATCTGCAGGCCCATGCTTCTTCGATTTCAGAGTTCCCATCAATATCTCGGACCTCCAGAAGGAAATAGTCAACTATTTTGGTGCTATTTATACTGCAATTAAACTGAGTGGGGCGGATATGCGGGAGAGAAAACGGAGGGGAAGGACAATCGTAGTACAGTCTCAGGTCATGAGAGTCCAAACTAAAATTAAAGAGAGTGAGATCTATGGAATTGTTCCTCAAATAGGTTGGACAAGTATTATTCCAGAAGTCAGTTCTCACAACTCTAAGACTATAATCAGAATAACTGACTTCAAGAACTCGATAGCTCTCGGACTTGATGGTGATTTCTGCATATCCAGCATCGCAATCTAGTTCAAATTTTGGGTGGCCACAATAGTCTGGCCTTTCCGATCCCCAGAAAGGATAGTCAAGGTTCTTGAGATTTGCACAATCAAATGAAGAACTGCAGGATGCCTCATAATCAGCACAGAAGCAAATTGGAATTTGATACAGGGCAGCCGAAATGATAAAAAACAAAAGGCAGAGGCTGAAATGAAATTGCATCTTGAGAAAGAAACCGAGGATGGGAGGCAGAGGTTGGGCGTCAATTGCACAGAAGGCCTGAACAGATAGTGAAGATGGAATTAATTTTCATGAGTTGGAAAATTGGAAGGATTCAGCTTGTGATTGGCCAATTTAAGTCACCTAGCAAGTAAGAATTTCCCCTTGCCAGAAACCACAGTAATCAGAGAGAACAACTTCTGGTAATTTCAGCCCTTAGTCTCTCTGTATTATAGTAGTTTAAATACCATTTTGTCTTCTATGTGAAAAGAAAATTAGTCAATACGTGTTATATGCACGAGTCAAAATATACAACATTTTCAATTTCAACCAGCTGAGTGGGTTTGACTTTTGCTTCGTCATGGACGAGCAACAACACCAAAAAATTCCACCGAATTGTCCTTCAGATGCCTTAGCTTGGGTTAATTGCACATGCGTAAAATTTTGAAATATTTGGATCCACGTTTATTCAAGGGTCATTGACCCTCATATTTGTATGAACAAACAGAAAGGAAAGCAATAGTTGGCAATTATCCATGAATCTTCCAAGACAATTCAAAGTTAAACTGTCTTTAGCAGTAGGTAGAGTCTACAAGTCAACTGCTTATTGAAACTGTCTGAATCACGTCTTCTGAAGATGCATTTGACAATTGTATAACTACTGATGATTTGGTAGGATATTCAAGGGATGGCTTTGGAGGAACCGTTAAGGATTGAAGGGGTCCTTCTAACATTTCTACCACTTTACTCATAGCTGGTCTATCTGATGGATTGGTTTGAACACACCATAGACTCACTAAAGTCATCTTCCTTACCACCTCATCATCTTCCTCTGTGATTACTAAAGAACTAGCGGGATGCTTTCCATGTTCAAGATCCTTATAAATCCAATCTGGAAAATACTGCTCATCAGTTTGTGATCCTCCACTGTCGTAGTTCTTCCTTCCTCCAACCATTTCAAGGACCAACATGCCATAGCTATAAACATCTGCTTTGTGAGAAACACCACCGAATGCTCTACTGAATATTTCTGGTGCAATGAACCCTATTGTTCCTCTTGTGCCTAGTATTGATACAGTATTCTCTTTCTTTTGACATAATTTGGCCAATCCAAAATCAGATATTTTTGGGGAAAATTCTTCATCCAAGAGAATGTTTTGGGGTTTGATATCAAGATGCAAAATTCTCGTGTTACAACCCCGATGCAAGTACTCCAGTCCACGAGCAATGCCAATAGCAACTTGGTACAATACCTTCCACTCCAAGGTACAGAAAGCATTTGGAGATCCTCTGTGATAGATGAAATTATCCAAAGAACCGTGTGACAGGAATTCATAGATTAGTACTCTTTTGTTCCTTTCATAACAAAATCCCAGGAGAGTGACTATGTTAACATGGGAGGTTCTGCTGATGCTTGCAACTTCATTTATAAATTCTTCTCCACTTCCTTTAGATTCCCTTATTACCTTAACTGCCGCTAGACGACCATCAGGTAGGCTGGCTTTGTATACAACACCATACCCTCCTTCGCCCAATTTGTCTGAAAATGATTTTGTCATTCTTTTCACTTCTGAGTAACTATATTGCCTTGGTGCCAAAGAGACATAGTTTCTCATGAAGGATTTAAGATTGTGATCATGATATGCTCTTCTCTCTATGAATAATTTCCCATTTTCTATTCTGAAACGCTTCTTGCAAATATAAATAATCAAAATTGAGATTAGAGCAAGTCCACCAACTCCTGTTGAAATGCCTGCATTTGTAAAACATAATAACTTCAAATCTTTGAAATGTTAGTCGTGGGAGCAATCAAAACGAGAGCGTTACTATTTTTATTACCTGTAGAAACTCGCGAACCCAGCTTCTCAGTTGATCCTGCAAGTAGAACATTGATTTCGAACAAATAATTACTACTTGCTTGATCAGCAGAAAATCATTACAAATTTCACATTATATCATATTACATTTATTCTGCGGTAGCAGAGATGTTTCTTATCCTGTTAAACCATCGTAGCTACAACATTTACTCGTGGAATTATCTTATAAAGATGTGCACTTTTCAGGGACACAAAAGAATGTGAAACAAATACATTTAAATGAAGAAAAAGAATGTTATTAGCAGGGAAAATGTGAAAACCTTAACGGGGGCTTTATTCTGGCAAATTGCCGAGAAGCTGAAGTGTTCTATCTCTTTCTCACTCTCTCTCTACACACACGCACACTCTAAAACATCATTAAAAGTTTAATTCTCTTGCAAAGCAATAGCAGACCCGTCCTATTTGGCTTGTATGGTGTTAAAGGGAAGAAGAATCAACAGGGTTGATACTTGATAACAGGGCATATATACTAGAAAATACAGATGTAAATTATGTTCTGCATCAAACATTTATCACAGGGACATGTCCCATATCCATGGTTCTATACCTGACGTTTTACCAGGGAATGAAGTTTTTTGGGTCCATCTTTGCAAAAGCAGGAGAATTGTCCATCATAGCCGCACTGGCCACCAGATTGAGAGCATGAGTTGCAATCCTCGGTATTTACCATCCATTGCAACTCAAACTCATCTCGTAATACATCTTGTCTAGCATGATATCTTTGGAAATCAAGAAACTACTACCCTACTTCTTAATATAAGAGCTAGATAATTAATTTGTGAATATTAACAAAATTAGTTAAATTAGTTATTTATAACAAATGAATGTTGTTTTTCATAAAATGTCCTTATTAATAATGTGCATTATAAAATTACCATTTAATGAAAATCTCTTATCATGTGCAATCACTATATTTAAGACCAAATTGAATCTATTACTGGCTTTTATATTAAGGATTGGAATTTGGAGGTAGTTATATAATAATTCCAAATAAAAAATGAAGTTATCAGGTTGTTTAGAATAAGCCCAAAAAAAAAAGACAATTGAGTATAATTACAGCGAGAACTCCGAAACAAAAAAGTTAGAAAAAAATCCCAACAAAATATCTTCAAATTTCAAAATTTTAACTCAAATTTATTTACTTCATTTTAATAACAAATGACAACATTTGAAAAGTAAATAACATATTTTTGGAGTCATTGGGATTTTGATTTTAAAAGTATTTTTTTGGTATTGTTTTCAAAAAGATTACTTAATTTAAGGCATATATGCCAAGTGTTAACACAATAAAAGCAAGTGAAATATCCTTCACACTGAATGAGATTACATCTTATCACAGTGTACTTCGTAGGGATCGAAATTGGAAGATTTTTCAGATCTTAAAGAGTGAGAGAAGTAGAATTATATAGAGATGACTTGAGAATGAACATTCTCAGATGAAAAATGACAATTGCTTAATCATGAGAAAATAGGACCTAAAATGTAATTATGTAAGTTGACTTGGGATCAAAGCAGGTTGCCAATATTTTAAAACTGATGTGAGGAACCCATGATAGCCTGGCACTTACCTAATAATGTCTATCTACCGCCAGCAAATACTCTAAACAGGACTTCTTATATTTTCTAAGATGAAGTTGGTGTGTATGAAAATTAAGTAAATTAAGCCAATCAAGGAGAAACATGCAGGTTGAGTTTCATTGTAATTTGGCATGAACATGTCTCATTAGCGCCAGTGTCCACGTAAACCGAAGAGAAAAAACTAAAGCGGCTTTTTCTAGCTTTTCCTGGAGATGAACCACAATTAGACGGTTGTGGCAGAAGTCAGGAATCGTTCTTGAGGGATATGAATCAACTATGTATGGAGATATATATAAACTAAACTATGTTTTCCCTTTGGCATCGCTCCCTGGCTAAAAGCAATGACTGACGAAGATATGGATAAGCCAGTATTATCTGAAATAACCCATTGAAACTCAAGGCATGTTCATCAATCTATGTTCACAGGAGTCATTAATTGCTGAAACTTCAATCTATGAAGTACCAGTACGTCAAAAACAGACTTGTGCGGAGACAACTCTTCAAATTACACAACATTACATGTTTTGTCATGTCGCAATTCTTTATTGTGTATCTGTGCACTTCATAGATTGGTATGAATTACTAAACACTGGTACTTACTTGATCCACAGGCAGATGGAACAGTTCCGTCTTTACAATAGCAAGTGAATTCACCCGAGTTTGTGTTATAACCGCATTGCCCACCAGAGTTTCGACAACCAGAGCATAGAGTATTATTTGCCTCCCATGCCAATTTAAAGCCATTATCAATAGCAGTCTTCACATTTCCCACACTTGAATCTTCCTCTAAAATTCTGGCTTGTGACTCCAAAATTGGAACAATGATAGTAGATCTGCAGGACCCTGTTACTTCGATTTTAGAGGTCCCATCAATATCTCGGACCGCCAGAAGGAAATAGTCAGCTATGTTTGTACTATTTATACTGCAATTAAACTGAGTGGGGCGGATATACGGGAGAGAAAATGGCGGGGAAGGACAATCGTAGTACAGTGTCAGGTCATGAGAGTCCAAACTAAAATTAAAGAGAGTGAGATCTATGGAATTGTTCCTCAAATAGGTTGGACAAGTATTATTCCAGAAGTCAGTTCTCACAACTCTAAGACTATAATCAGAATAACTGACTTCAAGAACTCGATAGCTCTCGGACTTGATGGTGATTTCTGCATATCCATCATCGCAATCTAGTTCAAATTTTGGGTGGCCACAATAGTCTGGTCTTTCCGATCCCCAGAAAGGATAGCCAAGGTGTTTGAGATTTGCACAATCAAATGAAGAACTGCAGGATGCCTCATAATCAGCACAGGAGCAAATTGGAATTCGATATAGGGTAATCGAAACGATAAAAAACAAAAGGCAGAGGCTGAAATGAAGTTGCATCCTGGAGAAAGAAACAGAAGTTGGAAGACACAGAGGTTTGGCTATTGCACAGAATATCTAAACAGATGGTGAAAATATAATTAATTCACATGAATCGGAATATTTGAAGGAGTCAGCTTATGATTGGCAAAGATTTTCGTAGGGACTATTGAAAGGTACTGATCCCCAGCCAACGCAAAGTTAGGTCACCTGGCTAAGAAGTTCTCTCGAGCTTTTAGCGGGAAATGAGGACCCGTTTGGAATAGCTTATAAGTAGTTTATAAGCTACTTTGCAATAGTGATTTATGGAATACGAGGTAAATATGTGAGAAGAGTTTTGTCTCAGTTCATGTGAAACGTGTTTATAGGGAATTTCTACCGCTCTGCCAAATAGAGCCTGAATAAATCAAACATATTAATTAAATATGAAATATAAAATTTAGATACTTCTGGAAATTGGTCAATTGTACTTAATTACAAAAGTCTTGGTCGTCTATCAAGCAAAGGTTGCCTTCTATTCTCTCATGGTAGGACCAAATTAAGTCATGTCGTCTTAGTGCATTTGGAATTTTCCATTCAAAGTGCGGTAGAGTAAACCAGAGAGCATGAATTCAACAAGAACTGTAGAAGATTGGACTCTTAGACGTATCCAACCATTGATTATGACTTGAGTGGAGTTTTTGCCCCCAACTATAGGTATCTTATTATCGGAGGAAATTTTATTCAAGGCATTATCAGGTACTAAATATGAGTACCTTTCTCAACAGGGATTCAAATCTTGAATCATAATATTGTGAAAAATAAATCCCTTCTACTAAACCCAATATCTGTTGGTGACCACAGAGAAATTGTTGATAACAAGTTGTTATGATCCTAGAGGGACTGAGATTGGGCTCAGATTGTGGCCCAAAGGAGAGCCCAAGCCAAGGCTAGGATGGCAAGGTGAGAATGGGTCCGATAAGACAGCATTCTAAGGACGAGATTGGTTATAGAAGGAGTCAAAAGAATCATGGTCCAAGTTCGTATGAAATATTGAAAATGAGGAGTAAAGATTAAGATCCGGATCAAAAAAACTCATTAAAAGTATTTAATATGAAGGAATTGTTTGTTATTTAGGATTGCCCTCATGGTATTCTCCTATTCTACCTATATGGATTTACCCAATTTCAAGTGACAATTAATCCCTCATACTAAATTTTTTTCCATCACAATCATAATCCTTACCCGTGATTTTTAATGTTTCTTACCAAATGGGATGTATGTGATCTTCCCTCTAATTGAATTTCCCTCTGTTTTCATCTTTCTGTTTTCATCCTTTCGCCATTTCTATCTCCCATATCCTATTTTGGGCAATCTCTATTCTGGACATTGTCCTTGTTACAGACACTGCCATATTTGCTCGAGTATCTGAAATATAAAACCATGGCTGCATTTTCAGTTCATTTGCCTTCTGCCTTGAGATACACACACATATGAGATCGATCATTACACTACTCTTCTTATAGAAACAATAATCTCTTTATCACTAATACTTGATACGACCTGTATATATACTTGCATAATCATAGGTTTACACAATTTTGAGCCTATCACACTACATTGTGATAGTAAAACTACTAATGCTGATGAATTTTTTTATCTTCTTAACTTCATCTTTTACAATATGGATATGGTGCATGCTAATAATCTCAAATCATTCTTCATTCGCTGAAGGCATGAGGTTAAGACTTCAGCGTGATAACAGATAGATAGGAACAATTCCCATAAACCCTATTGAAATGCTAGCTACGTGATCTATGAATTCAAAATGATGGGATTATTGATAACTATGTCTTCGATGTTTAGCATCTCGTTAGGCATCTCCTTTGCATGAATCACATCATTCTTCTTATTATAAATGAAGTGAAGTGATCTGCACATTTTCCAGTACGCATCTTTGATATCCCCTGGAATTGCACTCGACATAACTCTGATAAAGAACCTTTTTAATATGGATCACTGGACATGGTCAAAAAGTCGAGCCTGCTTATGCCAAAATATTCTCCAACCACTGTAAGCCACCA